TCTGGGTCTTTCATGGTTCTATATAAATTGGGTGGTGGGAGGGAAGCTATTTGTTCTATGAATAGGTGCCATGGGTAATTTAATTGAAATCACATTAAATCTGTACATTGCTTTGGGGACTAGGGCCATTTTGTATGAACACTAATTCTTCCAATCCATGAGAATAAGATGTTTATACGGCTATTTATTTCTTCTTTTAATTCTGTTGGCAGTCTCTGTGTCTTAAAAAGAAAATAAATCTTATAGGCAGCAAATCATTGGATCTTATTTTTTAATGCACTCATTTAATGCCTTTTGATCAGAGAATTTAATCCATGTATGTTTGAAGTCATTGTTGATAGGTAAGGACTTACTATTGTCATTTCCTTTATTTTTTATGGCTGTTGTATACAATCATTCCTGGTTTCTTATCCTGCTGACTTTGTTTTGGATTCTTTTGGTATCCAAGTGCTTGATCTCTTTATCATGTTGTTTTGTGTAATTACTGTAGGTTTCTCCCTTTTGGTTACAATGAGACTTACATAAAATATTTTAAAATTATAACACCTTATTTGAAACTGAGAACTTCAATAGCATTCCTAAACTTGACACCTTCTTCTTCCCTCCACACTTTAGATTACTGATGTTACCAATAACACCATTATTAGTGTTATGTTATCATGAATAAAATATTTTGTTATTAATAACAATATTTTTTATATAAAGAAATTATTATAGTATCATTTGAATTATGGTTATTTTCACTACTTTTAAAACTTTTATACTAGAGTTTAAGTGCATTAAGCACCACCTTTTCCATATTACAAAATCTAACTTTGACAATATACTTACCATTACCAGTTAGTTTTACACTACCTCCTTACATTTTTTTTAACATGTTAATTGGCGTCTATACTTCCATTCAGAGAACTCCCTCCACTTAGGTTTATTTGGGAAAGTCTTTTATCATCTTCATTTCTGAAGAACAGTTTTATCAGATAAGGAATTCTAGGTTGAGCGAGTTTTTGATTTCAGTATTTTGAACATACCATCCCATTCTGTCTTGACCTGAAATTTTTCTGTTGAGAAATCTGCCTGTAACCTTATGGGGATTCCCTTATATGTAATGTCTCTCTCTTACTGTTCTCAAAATTTCCTTCAACTTCTAACAATTTAATGATAATGTGTCACAGTCGAGCCCTATTCAGGTTCAACCTCTTTGGGGTCCTTTGTGGCTCACGGATTTGGATGTCCATTTCTCTCCCCAGGTTTGGGAAGTTTTCAACCGTTGCAACTTTAAATGTCATTCCTGTCCTTTTTCTTTTCCTTCTGAAATTGTCATAATGCAGATATTGTTTCTTTTGATGGCATCCCATAATTCCTAAAGGTTTTTTCATTCCATTTCCTCCCTCTGACTCAATAATTCCAGTATCCGGTCTTCTAGATCATTGATTATTCTGCACAGCCAAGTCTGCGTTTGAGCTTCTGAATTTAAATCTTCAGTTTATAATTATTGTGCTTTTCTGTTCTAAGATTTCTGGATTATTTATTTTAGTGATTTCCGTTTTTTGAACTTGTTTGTTCATGCTTCGTTTTCCTAACTTGGTTCACTTGTCATTGTGTTTCTACAGTTTACTGAACTTCTTTGAGGGTTATTCGTAATTATTTGTCTGACTGTTCACAATCTCCATTTCTTTAAGGTTAACTTTTAGATATGTATGTTCCCTTTGGTGGTGTCATGTTTACCTCCATTTATGTGATCCTTGATTCCTTACATTGGAATCTGTGCATTTGAGTAAGTCGTCTTTTCCAGAATTTACAGGTCCACATTGGCAAAGAAAGTTAGTCACTGGTCAGCTCAGTTTGAGTGTCTGGACATGTCTGCTGGTAACATCCTTGGAGAGGTGGTGCTTGCTATCAAGGTATATTTTTGGGTGAGGTCACTGCCAAGCCCTGAGGTTCAGAATAAGGGTGCCACTGGCTGAAAACAGTTGGATAAAACTGCTGGCTTGATTCTCTGCCCAAGTGAGGCTATAGAATGGGCTCTGCAGCTATCTAGATTCTTTGGTCAGGCTTACTAGGCCATCAGGGTTGGAAATATGCTCAGCAAAGGTGGAGCAATGAGTTAGCTTCCCTGCTATGGCAGGACAACAGGACAGATCCCAGGGCCTGTACAGCTTGTTTTCTGGAGACCCAAGTCAAGCAAAACTAAATGAATTCCCTGGTCAGCTGGGGCCAGTGGCTTTGCTTGCAGATGGAGAAAACCATGAGCTGTGTTCTGTGTCAAGTTCCACTGTAAGCATCACTGTTAGATAGACTAGACCGCTTCCTGTGTGTTCTAGTTAGGTTCCCTTTGAGTTGGCTGATGGTTGTATCTAGGAATTGGTGGTGCTTCGAATTTGTTCCCTGTCAGGACACAGTGGGAGACCAAACCTCAAGGCTAGTAAGGCTCTTGGTTTGTGGTCATGACTCGGATCATCCTGTGCCCCAAGTTCTCTGGCTGAACAGAACCACTGGGCTTGCAGTACACTCTTAAGCTCTGCCTGCTAATTCTCTGCTCAAGCATTGCTGGGCTGTGCAGCTTTTAGGCATTCATGCCAGCCTTTCTGGTCAGGCAGGGCCAAGAGCTACACCCAACTCGTCTGCTGGCCTGTGTCTAAGCCCCCTTGCCTGGACTGGGGCAGAGCAGGTTTGACGACTATTTAGGCTCTTCATGTGAGGACCTCAATCAGATAGACCTGCACCTGCCAAGCTCCCTGGTCAGACTGCTCCACTGACTTGGTTCCGTACATGAGCAAAGCTGCTCTTGGCACTTGAGTACTATAGGTATGAACTCGGTCTCCCAAGATCTGACATCTGGTTATTGTTCTCCCTTCTCCATCACAATCAAATTCCCAGTGGTCATGCCCTTAAGTTTCTCCTGCACCCTCCAGTGGAGACCAGAGTAGCAGCTTCCGCAAAGCAACCCACGACACTGGGTGTCACTCCTAGGCTTTCTCCTACCATCGGCTCACAGCATGGTGCTGTTCCAACCCAGGAGAGGAGCAGTGCAGCTGGTGTGTGGCCATTCCTCTTCACCATCTAACGTGGTCTGTTTCGGCCTCGGTGGCACTGGGAAATGCTCAAGCCTCATCTCCACGACTTGGGATTCTCTTAATGGCAGCTTGTCCATGAATAATTCTTAGCTGGTCTTCTTGTGAGAGGCAAAGTCAAGAACCACCTGTGGTGCCATCTTGGTGACATGGCTTTCTGAAATATCTTAGTATATGCAGAATGAGTCAGGATTTGTACTACAGCAGTGATTCTCAAAAAGGTATTTCTAAAGCAGCCATAAGTCTTTTACAATGTTTTATATATGGTTATTATCTTGCTTGAAAACTAGTTTAACAATAATGACATTTCTGGCATTTATCCTAAAAATGATACTCAAACCTAGTTTAAGGTTTCCTAATTTGGGGAGTTAGAATAATCAGCTATCAGAAATATATTTTCATACCAGCAACAAAGCCCAAAATAGCCCTCTCAAACTAAAGGCAAAGTTTTCCTTAAACATAATATTGTAAAATTAAAAGTATACTAGAGCAAAGTCCTCATGCCACTATTTGAATTGTTAGATTCAACAAATAATTGTATAAGTGATTTACCTGTTAATTTCCTGAAGCAAATATTCAGGATGTCTTGGAAGAAAATGGTTTAGCAAGTCACACATTCCATTTGACTTCTATCTCTGTAACTTGTTTGTTGTGATGATATTGGAAAAGCAGCTTAATAAGATCCATTATGTCATCTATAAAAGTTAAGTGTCTACTCCATTGTCTAACCGTAGGTACTTATCTCATGTTAGCTCCTCTTTCCTTTCTGACTGCTTTAAATCCTTAAAACGAGTTCACTTTATGGATTGTTCCAAAGATTTCCTTCATCCTTAAATTATTAAATTTCCTTAATAATGACTTTGCCAATTTTGTTTCTGTTGCCAAACATTTTTTTCCCCTCTTCCAGTTCATTCTGAAACAAAGTATGAATTTAACAGGGCTTTTCCTGGGCTCTAAACTGCTTTTTTTGGTCTTTTGAAAACAATACTTCTTTGTTGTTATTCAGTGCCTAAGTGTGTTGGAACTCTGCCACCATGCAGCACACCATGCTCCACCAGAGTCTGAAAGTGAAAATCGCTCAGTTGTGTCTGACTCTTTGCAATGCCATGGACTATATAGTCCATGGAATTCTCCAGGCCAGAATACTGGAGTGTGTAGCCATTCCCTTCTCCAGGGGATCTTCCCAACCCAGGAATTGAACTGGGGTCTCCTGCACTGCAGGCGGATTCTTTACCAGCTGAGCCACCAGGGAAGCCCCGGAGTTTGCCTTTTGGCAAATAAACAAAAGCCCTCAAATCAATATCCTATCATCTTTTGGCATGCACCCCCTCCCCACCAAAACAAAAGAAAAATCTCTTATCTTGGGATAACAGGCTCAGAATAGCAAACAGTAAAAAATAAATTTTTTTTCAAAAAGAGGATACTCCTGGAGGTCAAGGGTAAATTAAACTCATGACCAGAGAGGGTTCCTCATGAAAACAGCCTTAACTTCTTGCCTTCTACCTCCAGTGTATCCTTTTCCCACAAATATCCTGATTTCTTTAACCTTGAAGTTAGAAACTCTGGCACACAGTTGTCCCTTGAACAAAATGGGTTTGCACTGTGCAGGTCCACTTATATACAGTTTTGTCAATGAACAGGCAGAACAGTACTACACAATCAGTGGTTGGTTGATCTCTGATATGGAATTATGGCTATGGAGAGCTAACTATAAAGTTGTATGTGGACTTGTATATTTAGGGGTCAGCTCCCCAAAGCCTTCACTGTTCAAGGGTCAACTGTATCTGAATGTTACCTTTCCACTTGAAAGATGGGCAAAGTTGCTATTCCATAATTCTTGGCAGCCAGTGGCAAGTTGAGACAAAAAGGAAAATGGGTCCTTCTAATATAATATGAATATGATTAACATTTGAAAAATCACTTGGGATATAAGTTGAGGTATTATTTATTTATGACATATTTACATACGTACAAAATTGGCTTTATCCGATACATCATCCTGCATCAGTTCAGTTCAGTTCAGTCGCTCAGTCGTGTCCAACTCTTTGTGACCCCATGGACTGCAGCATGCCAGGCTTCCCTGTCCATTACCAACTCCCAGAGCTTATTCTCCATATTCTGGGAGTAAATATCCAAGTTTTTTAATTTATGTATAACCCAACATCTTTTAGAACATAAAATGTTACCAGTTTGGCTTCACAGAACACAAAATTCCTGTTTAGAAATTTTTCTAGCCAAGGAACAAAGTAAATTTCAACAGCATCTTAAACTAATTTAGCTGGCCCTGAGTGTATTAGTAATTTTCATGATTTTGAATTAATGTATACAATACACTTTCATCTGTTATCTACCTATATTTACTATCATACTACCATTTTGTCTATATCTATTCATTTCAATTTTCTACCTCATTAATCTTTGAGAGAAAGCACAAAGAAAGGGGAAGTAATAATAAGAGAGGAGAAAACTACTGGTATTGGCTCAATCTTTTCTACCCAGAATCTGGGGCCCAGCTCTAGGTTACCCGATAAACTTAGTAACAAGACACTATTAATATGAGTAATCTGAGTATGTTCTGTCAACTGAGGTTGATGTAAAATTACTCTTCCTGCATTTTTTTCCTATTTTCTTTCACACTTCTTAACTAAAAAGTATACAAACTTCTCAAATTCAGTAAGTAGTTCTGGGAGCACTTCAAACGAAAAAAACAAAACAAAACACACAAACATGACCAAAACAGTAGTGGCAAAGAACTGTGTTAAAGATAAGTAGTCCCAAGATGCTTGAGGGTGAAAAAAAGAAATAGTCTCAGCTCAACTCACCCTAAAAAATGCTAGTGGGGGAGTTATAAGGAAGCAAGCAGGAATAGAACAGGACGGCTGGATGCCTGGTGAAGGGAGCTGTGGCCTTAGGCTGATGAGCAGCACATCTCATGTCACAATACCAACAGTAAAAGGCTGCCTGGCCCAGGATGCTGTGGTGTGCAAGAGATGACTTTTCTTGTACCTTGTACAACAAGGAAATCCAAGCATGAAAAAATATACAAGAAGCTGGGAAAGCTGACTGTGTACAATCAGTCATGAGCATCAGCCTTTCAAAGGTAACTCTGGGTCAAAAAAGGAATAAGAGGCCAGAATGAGATCATGTATTTATCTTTTCCATCTGCCCTTCCCCCTAGTCCTTACCCACTCACAAAGAGCAGGCGTGCAAATTACCAGCTGCCAGAAAATCAGCTGCACCCAAACCATAGGCATTGCTATCTGATGACCTGCAGACTGTCCTCTAATGGGATGTCAATGTTAGTTATTTTATGAAAACAATCCCCCAAAACATCAATTAAGATATTTGAGATTTGGTAAAATAAAAAGAAAACTCGGATTATTTTTAGGATCTGTAAAATTTCCCTATAATAGAAGAGAAAAAAGCAGAAATATGAAGTATGGGCATATGTTCCTTCATGCCTAACAGTGATGTGTCATTAGTCTGACACCACGATAAAGGGCAGCTTTTTAAAATAAAAAAAACAAATGTTGGAGAAAGGCTTCCCTTAATCGTGGAAGATGGAGAAAACACAGATGAAGTGTTCCATAAATACCAGTAAAAAGGGAAAATAAGTATTCTGTTCCTATTATGCTATAGCAACTGGCTACATCTGTCTTCTCTCTCATTATTTTTAATGACACAGATATCTGAATTGCACTCAACAATCATTATACAGGGCATGGAAATTAAAACATAGGTGGAAAATTAATATGTAATTTTATCACCCTCGGGTTAGAAAAAAAATAGAAGTCAAATAAGTACTTGAAATGATATTAAAACAAAGCAAACATGACACATAATGACAGTACAGGATAACAGCTTCAACACATTAAAAGATTTTATAAGATTGTGCTAATTTTTTTACTTCTAAGGAATTATATAGAAGAGTAAATAAAAATTAAATTACATTTATATAAGAAACGATCTTCAAAAGTTATTTAAACTTTCATATATAGAGTTCAAAAGTATATGACAAGGTATTTATTTTTGATTTTTATAAATCCAAACTTGGTAAAATATATTATTTGGGGGAAAAAGAAGCTTTTGTTAAATACAAACATAATGCACTAAATAAACCAGGTTCACTATAAAATTGTTTCTTTGAAAACCTGCATAAAAAGTAAAGGCAGAATGGCACAAAGTTAGAAAAGCAGTGTTTAAGGCAAACTAAATAAGAAGTGTCCTTAAAGTAAGTCATATAATCTCATAAACAATAATTTCCTCTCAAAAACTTCTCTATTACAGCTAGAGAAATAAGTTAAAACAGAAATAATGGCTGCAGAGTTTACTTGGAAGTGCTGAATAGTATTATGCAAAAAATACCCAATGCTTCTAATTTAAATAGACTGGAATCATTTGCCACTTAGCTGTCACAGAGCAATGAAAAAATAAAATGTATCATCCAAATGTTTATCATACAGTATGAATGTGAAATGCTGAAACTTACTTTAAAAAAAAAGGAATTTTTCAGACCATATGTGTATAATGTGATAACCAAAAAGAAAATGATCAATTCTGCTATTCTGGCCCATGTTAAAAATATGCATAGAAAAGTGCACCATCTCCCTACAAGTAGCTGTCTTAACAGTCTTTTGGTGAGCCCACATCTTAGCATCATACCTGAGCACATGCACACACAAAAAGCTTCAAAGACTGGCAGGGAAGATATTAATCATGAATTAAAAGAAACAATGCCTTTAAACAATATTCAGTAAACATGTTCTTTAGTCAACTATTTCTTAAAAAACAAAATAGTAATCAAGTACACATCATCAAGTTAAATACCTTAGCACATGAATTTGCACCTTATAAATCTGGTGTATCAAACTGTCCTATAAAAATATTTATAAATTTTTTGGGAACTATGGTATGTGAAATTATGTAATCATAAAAAGGACCTGTTTCGTTTCACCTACTGGAATGATACCACACCTTTCTAGAAGAGAAAAACTGCAGCCTACGGGAAATGATCAGAACAGCTGGACTGACTAAAGCTGTCCAGTGTAAGGGTCTGTCTCTTCTTTACCAGTAGCTCCAAGTGAGCAGTGTCAGCAGCCCGGGGCCAGGCTTCTCACATGGTCCTGGGGGGCAGGCGCTGTTTATACATGCCCGCTATTGCTTTGGCCGCACTGTAGATCATCTGCCGACGGGACATGCCCGTGAAAGCCATATGCCAATCAGTCCGGCTGACGTTGAGTAAACTCTTCTCCAGGACTTCACCCACTGTCACCAAAAGGCCAGACCACCTCAGATTGTAGTCCTGGGGAGTCAGACTTTGAGCCTCAGGAAAAAAGAAATTGAGATTTTTAATACATTAAAAAAAAAAATTACTGGAACTAGCTATAAGTGACATTTCAAAGTCCCTCAAGTTACTTTTAGTAGAGATTATGACAAACCATGAGAAACACAGCTATGCTGCTGAATTATGAAATTATAAAGGCGACAAAACTAGTTGTTAAAATACAATCTGTCTTTTTTTAATTTTTTAAAGATATTTATTTCGGGCTGTGCTGGGTCTTCATTGGTGCGGAGGCTTTCCTGCAGTTGCATGTGCAGGTTTCTCATTGCAGTGACTTCTCTTGTGGAGCATGGGCTCTAGGGTGCGCAGGCTTCAGTAGCTGCAGCACATTTGCAGTTCCTGGGCTCTAGAGCACAGGCTTGATAGTTGTGATGCCTGTTGGCCATTTGTATGTCTTCTTTGGAGAAATGTCTATTTAGGTCTTCTGTCCCTTTTTGATTGGGTGGTGGTTTTGATGCTGACCTTCAAGAGCTGTTTATTTTGGAGATTAATCCCCTGTCAGTCACTGTCATTTGTAAATATTTTCTCCTGTTCTAAGGATTGTTTTTTCATCCTATTTATGATTTCCTTTGCAGTGCAAAAGCTTTTAAGTTTCATTGTTGCTACTGCTAAGTCACTTCAGTCATGTCCAACTCTGTGCGACCCCATCCTTGGGATTCTCCAGGCAAGAACACTGGACTGGGTTGCCATTTCCTGTGAAAGTGAAGTCGCTCAGTCACGTCCGACTCTTCGCAACCCCATGGACTGCAGCCTACCAGGCTCCTCCGTCCAGGGGATTTTCCAGGCAAGAACACTGGAGTGGGGTGCCATTGCCTTCTCCGTTAAGTTTCATTAGGTCCCATTTATTTTCATTACTCTAGGAGGTAGATCCAAAAAGATACTGCTGCGATGTCAAAGACTCTTCTGCCTATGTTTTCCTCTAAGAGTTTTGTAGTGTCCAGTCTCACATTTAGGTCTTTAATCCATTTTGAGTTGAGTTTTGTGTATGATGTTAGGAAGTATTCTAATTTCATTCTTTCACATGTTGTTGTCCAGTTTTCCCACCACCACTTACTGAAGAGACTGTCTTTTCTCCATTGTTATTCTTGCCTCCTTTGTCATAGCTGAGGTAACCACAGGTGTGTGTGTTTATCTCTGGACTGTCTATCCTGTTCCACTGACCTATGTGTCTGTTTTTGTGCCAATACCATACTGATTATTATGAAGTCAGGCAGCCCAATTCCTCCAGTTGATTTTATTTTCTCAAGATCACTTTGGCTATTTGTGGTCTTTTGTGTTTCCATATAAATTGTAAAATTCTTTGTTCTAATTCTGTGAAAAATGCCATTGATAATCTGATATGTACTGCGCTGAATCTGTAGATTGTTTTGGGTACTATAGCCATTTTCACAATATTGATTCTTCCAATCCAAGAACATGGTATATCTCTGCATCTGTTTGTGTCGTCTCTGAGAACCTTAAGATGTTGATTGAAGAACAGAGTATAAGTCTTCTTTCTGCTTAGGCAGGTTTATTCCTAAGTATTCTTTTCGATTCAGTGGTAACTGAGATTGTTTCCTTGATTTCTCTGATATATCATTGCTAATGTATTGGAATGCAACAGATTTCTATGTATCAATTTTGTATCCTGTACTTTGACTGAATTCACTGATAAGCTCTAGTAGTTTTCTGATAGCATCTTTAGGATATTCTATATATAGTATCATGTCATCTGCAAACTGTGACAGTTTTACTCTTTTCCAACTTGGATTTCTTTTCTTTTTTTTAATCTTCTCTGGTTTCGGTGGCTAGGAATGCCAAAATTTTGTTGACTAAAAGTGCTGAGAGTGGACATCCTTGACTTGTTCCTGACTTTAGAGGAAATGCTTTCCGTTTTTCACCACTGAGAATGATGACTGCTGTGGGTTTATCATATATGTTGAGGTAGGTTCTTTCTGTGCTTTCTGGAGAGTTTTTATTATAAATGGATGTTGAACTTTGTCAAAAGCTTTTTCTGCATCTATTGAGATGATCGTATGGTTTCTATTCTTCTATTTGCTAATATGGCATATTACACTGGTTTATTTGCAGATATTGAAGAATTCCTGCATCCCTGGGATAAATCCCATTTGATCATGGTGTGTGAGCCTTTTAAGGTATTGCTGGATTCAGTTTCCTAGTATTTTGTAGAGGAGTTTTGTGTGTATGTTCATCAGTGACATTGGTTTGTAATTTTCTTTTTTTGTGATTATCTTTGTCTGGTTTTGCTATCAGGGTAATGGTGGCCTCACAGAACGTCCCTGAGTGTTCCTTCCTCAGGGATTTTTGGGAAGATTTTAAGAAAGATGAGTGATAACTCTTCTCTAAATGTATGATAGAATTTGCCTGTGAAGCCATCTGGTTCGGGAGTTTTTTTTTAAATTATTATTATTATTGGAAGATTTTAAATCATAGTTTCAATTTTAGTACTTGTGACTGAACTGTTTGTATCTCCTACTTCTTCCTGGTTCAGTCTATAAGGGTTGTACCTTTCTAAGAATTTGTCTATTTCTTCTAGGTTTTCCATTTTATTGGCATACAGTGGCTTAGAGTAGTCTCTTATGATCTTTTTATTTCTGCTGTGTCAGTTGTAAACATCCCCTTTTTCATTTATAATTTTATGGATTTGAGTCCTCTCTTTTTCTTGATGGCTAAAGGTTTGTCAATTTTATCTTTTCAAAGCACTGGCTTTTAGTTTCATTGATCTTTCCTATTGCTTTGTCTCTATTTCATTTACTTCTGCTCTGATCTTTATGATTTCTTTTGTCTGCTAACTTTGTGTTTTGTTTCTCCTTCTTTATCTAGTCCCTTTAGGTGTAAGGTTAGATTGTTTATTTGAGGTTTTTCTTATTTCTTGAGCTAAGACTGTATTGCTATAAACTTCTGAGAACTGCTTTTGCTGCATCCCACGGGCTTTGGGTTGTTGTGGTTTTGCTGTCATTTCTCTAGTACTTTTTTATTTTCTCGGTGATACACTGGTTATTTAGTATCACTGTTAAGCTTCCATGTGTTTGTGCGTTTTTATAGTTTCTTTTCCCTGTAACTGATTTCTAACCTCATAGCATTGTGATTGGAAAAGATGCCTGCTATGGTTTCAATTTCCTTAAATTTACAGATGCCTGATTGTGACCCAAGATGTGATCTATCCTGGAGAAATGTCCCGTCTGCACTTTGAGAGGAAAGTATATTCCTACTACTTTCAGATGGAATGTCTTATAAATATCAATTAAGTTTACCTGGTCTAATGGGTCAATTAAGGTACATGTTTATTAGTTTTCTGTCTGGATGATCTGACCAGCAGTGTACGTGGGTTGTTAAAAATCCCCACTACTATTGTTAGTTTTTCAGTTTCTCCTTCTGTGGCTGTTAACGTTTACATTATACTGAGGTGCTCCTATGCTATGTGTATATATGTTTCCAACTGTTCTATCTTTTTCTTGGACTGATCCCTTGACCATTGTTTTTTAATTGAGGCATTGTTGATTTACAATGTTGTATTAGTTTCAGGTATTCAGTGAAGTAGTCCAATTATACATATATATGAATATATGTTATTTTTCAGGTTCTTTTTCACTATAGGTTACTACAAGATACTGAATAGTTTCCTGTACTATACAGTATATGTTGTTACCTATTTTATACAGAGTAGTGTACAGTTATTAACCCCACACTCCTAATTTATCCCTCCCAACTCCTTCCCCTTTGGCAGCCATACGTTTATTTTTCATGTCTGAGAGTCTGCTTCCGTTTTCTAAATAAGTTCACTAGTATCTTTTTCTTTTTTTACGTATAAGTCAGATCATATGATACCACTTATGAGACTCTGATTTCCTTTGATAAACAACCAGTAAGAAGTTCATGTAGCAATATGGACTTATGAGGTGTCTGAAAAGAAGGGAGGCAGGCAGTCTTGTAGGACTGACTCCTTAATCTGTGGGATCCAACACTCTTTATAGGTAGAAAGTGTCAGAACTGGGTTGAATTATAGGCTGTCCAGCAGGTATTGGATAACAGTTTGGTGGTGTGGGAAGAACTACCTCACCCCCTCACACACACACACACACAGGAAATGGTTTCAGAAACCTTTTTACTGTTCTATTTCTAAATTTTATTAATTTTACCAATTAGTTCTTAAGTGATACTGTATTATTGTTTTTGGTTAGGTTACAAGCCAGACTCACAGAATAAAATGGAAAACTTCTACCTCTCTGCATTAGATGCATCAGTCATCTATTCTTCGAATATCTTTTACACCTCACTTGTAACACCACTGTGTGTGCATGTGTGCCCAAGCTGCTTCAGTCGTGTCCAACTCTGTGTGATGCCGTAAACCGTAGCCTGCTAGGCTAATCTTAGAACTCAATTTTTGGGGAGCATTAAAAGGCTTCACTAAGATAATTAAGTTAAATCACATCAAACTGCCAAAATGTGGCTGTTTTTTCTAACTTCAAAGAGCAATTTTGTATGGTTCAACCTAGTGGTTATAAACTGCCATTGTTAATTCAAGAATATTTTCCTAGAAAATCAACAACAGTATGTAATTTTTCTATATTATTGGTATAGTAGTAGGCATAACATTTGTTTACCATCTCTTAACCACCCTCATACTAGAGTGAATTTAACATTACCATGTATATATAAAAATGCTTTCTTCAAACTTCTGAAAAGAAATTGTGGTAAAAATTATGATATCAGTGGTATGTTATTATGGTAACAAAACTTTAAGCATCAATTCTTATTCCCCATCTAAAATGTAAACCCCTAAGAAGGTCACAGGTGGCTTTAAGGGGCTCTATAAACACATAAGCCAAGTTTATATGTGAATGCATACATCATACATACTTTCTCTTGGGGGAGAATCCCAAGAGAATTCGCAAAAATCTAAGGTCCCAAATAACTTTTGAGAGTTTTGAAATGACATTTCAAGAGTCCAATGTAAATAAACTCTTACATTCCATTTTGTTCAAGAAAGGATTAAAAGTAACAAAAATGTAGAAGGAATGAAACTCATTATAGATTAATGCTTACATTCTTCTGGAAACTATGTGGGTAGGTAAACATTTTTCAGGAAACTGAAAAGACATTTGCCTTTCATCCAAGGTTTGTAAACTTGCTTCTAAATATGTTTCCGCATGTTTTTAACAATGAACAAATTAAAGAGGAAGATGAGGACAAAGAAAAAGGAACTAGAGTAACCAGGAAAAATGAAAATGTGAGATAAATGAGACAGTATCTTAAAGGTTAACATAAAATCAGAATAGGTAAATTTTTTCTAACCCAAAGGTAATGAACACAATCATAAAAATAAGCAAAGCAATGAAGAAAAGAGCAATTAACCATATAATAGATTTACCTTTTCAAAGACCACTGGAAAATAAAAGTAGGGAGGTACTGAAACAACGTGGAAGGAACAGAAATTAAAAAAGAGAAAAGATTAAAAGGAAAAAGAGTGAAGTAAAATCAAGAATATACCATATTTTCAATAAAAATTTTGAGAACAATATTTCAAGCTTTCCTGGAGCATAATGCAAAAGCATAAAACTAACCTGTTGTACAAACTCTAAGGGTACTGGTGTGGCTTGTGTAAATGCTTCCAGATGAATACCATGCACAGGGTCTTCAACTATCAGACAGCCGATGTCAAACCATCTGCAAGAGAACATGAGTTTCAAGTTGTGGATATGCTAAGTAAGTTCTACGAATTGATAAAGTACTGTCCTTCGGCTAAAACACTAGCAGACTAATTAAAAGATAAACCATAAAAACAACATATAAAATTGCCCTGTTGGCTTAATTCCAAGAGGAGAGGGGAAAATGGGTAAGAACAAAAATAGCTGAAAATCATGCAATTCCTTTTCTTGCTAAGATTTGGGGAGAAGAATGGCAATTAGAAGTGCTCAAATATGCAACAGATAAATTTATTCATCTGAAAATGCAAATAGCTTATCATAATTAAAAACATCATTTTCTAACATGGGAAATTTTATACTACCAACTCTATGATTAGTATATAGCCAAGTTACAAAGTTACTAACTGACTTAAAAAATAAGCTCATTCAAGAAATAACAAATTCTCTCCTCATTCCTGATAAATCTTTCTAATCACAATTTCTGAATTGTTCACAATGAATCAAACTTTGATTTGAGGACAGCTTCATGAAATCAAGAAAACTTTCTTCCATTTTAAGATACACATTAAAAAGTGATAAATTTTAAAACTGACTTAGGTGAGGTTATCAGTACATCATCAGCATTTTAATTAACCAGAAGCAGGAAATCATGGTTTTAAATGAGAAGATACAGAGCAAGAAGATTTTAAAATATGCAGATTAAAGTGCTATGAAATACAATACAGATTAGGAAACTTTTTTTTTACACATATTCAAAGAAACAACAAGATAGTAAACAGAGTAACAACTTTGATAAAATGACAGTTTATTATGTCTACAGTTTTCGTATCGTAAAACTTTGCTTGGAATTGAGAGCCTTGAATAATTTATCTTATATGAATCATTATTTTCCTTGGGATATGAATGAATATTTTATTTTACACAATTGTGTATTGTGCAGACAGCAGAGAACTGCAGTGACTCAGCTCCCAGGCACGGCACGGCCTTCCTGAAAAGCAGCTCCTCTGAAGGTACCTCCCACAATGCCTGTGAGCACACTCTAGAACTCCCCGTCTCCACACTACTCTCATGCTCCCATGTGTCAGCCTGAGTATCCCATTCTCCTCCAACTCAAATCTAACGTGCCGTCACTGTCATGATCACTGAGACCCCTTCAGCACCTCTCGCTAGTGCTGCTGGCCGAGTAACTTTGTCTTCTCCCTCCTCCTTCCTGTCCTTCTACCCACCTCCACTCCCCACTCCGCAGGAGGAAGAGTGGTGGTCTCCACTGTTCATGCTCAAGGACAGTCACCAAGGAACTCTCTCCTCCTCACCCTCTCCTTGTGGCTGGTGAAATACGGCAGACTTGGCCAAATCCTATAAGAAGTCACCTGGACTTAAGAATGGTAGTTCCAAGACTTGGATTTTATGTAGCAGAAAAAAATCGAAATAGAACCTGAGGAGCTGATATAGGTATGCCAGTTTGTATTTTACCAAGGACTATCCAGTATCACTGGTTACTTTCCAAAAGGACATTTTAATCCATCTCACACATAGCCCAATATTTTTAGGTTGGGTTAATTTCAGAATAAGGACAGTTCATGCTTCACAGGTATTTTTCCATTTTGGTACACAAGACGCTAATTTTCCTCATGGAGTGTGAACTGATGCAAAGGTCATCACAAATAGCTAGGTCTTTACTGGCTCTGCTCTGTTAGGGGCCAGACAACATTGGTCTTTTCTTGCCTTAGTTATAAGCATGCATTTCTCTATCTTCTGTGCCTTTATTTCCTATGGGAACATCACAGAGATTAGTAGCCAAAGCAAACTATCAAGTGTTTTGGGTTGTGGGTTTGCTGTTTGCTCTCATGTTCTTCCTCTATCCCCCTTCTGTATCTTAATACCACAACCTTTCCATCCTCTCTCATCCTTAACCATACTGGAAACCATCAACAGACTTCCTAATACTACTTATTTGCTACTCTTCTGCTCAAAAAAGCATTAATGTTTGGCAGGAAAAATACCATGTCTAGGTGTGATGGTGCAGTTGATGGCGGACCAATGAAAAGCTGGGTGAGACTATAAATTATAACCAAAGGTATCCAAGAGCTGAAGGAGCAAGGAAGACAAAACGGAGTAACGTTCTAGACAGCGACAACTTTATAAAGGTGCGCTTTAAGACCTTCAGGTGATGCTGAGCACTACCCAGTCTGGACTCAGGTCAGTCGTGACTGCAGTGCACCAAACCACCCCTTTCACACACCTCACCACGGTTTACTACAGCAAACAGTGAACCGTCTCAGGATTACCTGAAGACTCTCGAGTTTCTTATAAACAATACCTGGCTTTAAAAGACTGTGAGCTGAGGCATCGACAGAGACAGCACCTTATCATTACACCAAAAGGAGGCTAAATGAGGCCCATACACTGGATTCAGCAGACAAGGATCTTTAATGACTCATTCTAAAGAAAGCGGAGGTAAAGGTTGCCACAACGGGAGGAAAGATATAGATATCCAATAGATACATTGAATCTATATTAAAAAAAAAAAAACAGTGTACTGGCTACACAGCAGCAGACAGGTACATGGGAGATACTCAAACTAAAGAACAGAGAGGAAGACTAGAGTGAGCAAGTAGAGGGAAGAGGGGACTGACCATGAGAAATGGAGGGTACAGTCAGAGGTGAACAATGTGTCAGTGGAGTCCTAGCAAGAGAAAATGGGCCAGAAGCCAGTTCTGAAGGTAAAACGGCTAAGAACTTTCCAAAACGGACAAAAGACATAAATCTAGTGAAAGACACAAAGAATCAAGCTTGGTGAACCCACAGAAGTTTAATACATAAGCAAACACATGCACACCTATACATACCATAGTAAAACTGCAAAAACACAATGACAAAAAAGATCCTAAATGCAGCAAAACAACACATTTTCTTCACAGAAACAACAAGCTGGATAGCTGATGTAACAGAAATGATGGAAGCCAGAAAACAGTACAATGGCATCTTTAAAGTATTATATAAGAAGAGATCTGCCAACCTTGTCCAGAGAAAACACCCTACGAAAATAAAGGTACGTAAAGGCGTTTTCAGACAAAAGCTAAGAGAACTCATGGCTAAAGTCTAATGGAGTACAAAGAATGTTTTAGGCAGAGTGAAAATGATCCCAGACCTAAAACCAAAAATGAAGGAAGGTCTTCAAAAAATAAATATAAGTGACCAGAATACTAACAATATCTTGAGTTTATGCACAATTAAGATAACTTACAATACTGCACAAGATGTAGGGGGTAAATCATATTACCAAGTCATTATTTGTACTATAATGTAATACACGGAAAAGGCATGATGGAATCTCTAAGGTAACCCTTATGTCAATATTAATAGAGGGGAAAAAAAATGAAATAATAATGACCAGTGGATTGTTGCTTGGTGCTTATGTAGAAAGTTCAAACTTCCCAACCAAGTATTTAAAGCTCTTCAGTCTGTCCCCAAAGTACTCCTGACTTTCTATCCAACAATGTTCAGCCAAGCTGATATAATCTCTGACACCTAAATATATCTTAATCATCTTCACACTCTTCCTCCACATAGAATGCCCTACCTATTCTTTTTCACTTATCCAAATTTTAACTACTCTTCAAACTTCAGCTCAAGAACCAATCATTCATGACTCTTATCTGACACTATTCCACATCAAATTTCCAGTGAAAATATATGTAACATTTCCTGTAAGTAAAGATTTACACACTTACAGAGTCATTTAAAACTGTTTATCTTGTACATATTTTCTCTCCCACCTGGTCTATAATAAATCCTCAAAGTTGGAGTACATTTTTTGTATACTATAGCTACAAAGTACTAGGCACAGTGTTACTCAATACTAAAACAAAAATTAAATGCAACAAAGTGAAAGTCAAAGTCACTCAGTCATGTCTGACCCAATGGACTGTACAGTCCATGAATTCTCCAGGACAGAATACAGGAGTGGGTAGCCTTTCCCTTCTCCATGGGATCTTCCCAACCCAGGGATTGAACCCAGGTCTCCCACATTGCAGGCGGATTCTTTACCAGCTAAGCCACAGGGAAAGCCCAAAAGCAACAAAATCACACAGTAAATAGGAAGAAGGTAGGTCTCAACAGTTGCGAAGCTATTCCAAAATAAGGCAATTCTGCAAATTAAAAAAAATTCTCCAATCAAAAAATCCATCTATTAAAAGTTTAATGCCCTCAAAAACAATGACAAATCATGTTGTTAGAGGTTTTTTCCCAGCCTACACAGATGAGAGGTAGTGCAGAACTCAAACCTGGTGACTGCCTCCAGGCCATCTTGCCAGACCTCCCATCACTCTGAACAGCTATGCAAGGTGTTTGTGTTTGTTACGGAAGTCAGCATCCAAGGCAAAGCTACACCATTGTATCTTATTTAATTGATGATTATTAACACAGTCTTAGAATGCAGGCAACACAATGTAAATTTTATAATAAAAAAGGAGAAAACAAGAGTAGAAATGTGAGCTAAGCTACACAGGTCACATAACTAATGCGATGATATAGCTAGACCATAACATATTTTCTGTCTGGTTCTAATTTTTTACTAGACATTCAGTGTGAGCAATTCTATTTTTGCTCCTAAGTGAAATGTAATAAGCCACTCACTGAACCCATTATACACCAACAAACTGGACAACCTAGAAGAAATGCATAAATTCCTAAAAACACACACAACCTACTAAGACCGAAACATGGTAGCATTATTTCCAACAACCAAGGCATGGAAGCAACCTAAGTGTTTGTCCATGATAAACAAAATGTGATTTATATATACACATTCAAACACATATATGTATACATGTAGTGTGGTATTTATATGCATGTGCTTATAAAACAGTATCTTATTCCATTAAAAAGTAAGGAAAACCTTGCCATTTGCAATAATATGGATGGAATTAAGGTAATTAAAGTCAGTCAGACAGAGAAAGATAAATACCATATGCGCTCCCTTACCTGTGGGGAGGGGGGAGTGAATTCACAGAAACAAAGGACAGACTGGTGGATGAAGAGGCAGGAGTGGGAGACAGGGTAAAACAGATAAAGGGGATTAAAAGCTACAAACTTCCAGTTATAAAATAAGTCATGAGGATGTAATGTACAGCATGGGATTAATAATGAATTTTGCATATTTGAAAGTTGCTAAGAGAAAAGATGAAAAGATCTTGTCATGAAAGTTCTCTTTATAAGAAAAAAACAATTAAAAAAAAAAAAAAGCCTCTTACTTGTCAGGAAGCAATTCTGCAATGAAGTTTTCTACTGATACAGCCGTCTGTTTTTCATGAATCACTCCAGTTCGACGCAAGCTATCTATCCGTTCCTGGGCACCCTGAATAGAAACAGTGTATATTAGAAACTATTTCAAGTTAATCAGTATTAACTATGCTAATTGATGATTATATAATATGTGTATACATTTATACCCAAATACATATATACTCATTATAAATATGAAAACACACACACACACACACAAAAAAGAAAACACACAGAACAGAGAGTAAACAGTGAAGAAGTGTGCTCACACTCCCCTTAATATTGATAGTCTGCAACATATCCTCCAAGTTATTCCTATACGCATTATTATTTTGGTTGCTATTGTGAAATGGATAATTTTATATTCCATGTTCTAACTGGTTATTACTAATATAAGAAAACTATGTGCTTTTTAATGTTTATCTGGCAAGAGGTCATCTTAAATGTTTCAATCCTAGTAGTTCTTTGCTTGATTCTCTCAAATTTTTCTAGGTAAACAATCTTATCAATAGTAAATATGTTGTTTCTCTTCTGAGTCCTTTTATACATATGCCATGGACAGAGGAGCGTGGTGGGCTATACAGTCCATGGGGTTGCAAAGAGTTGGACATGACTGAGCGACTTCACTTTTAAAATATGCACCAAAATGACAGTTTTTTTTAACAGCAGTGTCCTCATTACACCAAAGCTTATTCAAGAAAATAATTGCCATTTATGAAATAAAACTGAGGGGCTGAGAATACTATACAGATAACTCAAAAATCATGAATTAAATATATATCTATAGTAGGAAACTAAAACCTAGACTAACGAGGACAAGGCTGCCATTTAGTACTTTCATTTTAATCACTTCATAAAAGTACTCATGAATGATGTTATCAGAATGAGTACAAGAAGCTAAATAAAACATTTCTAAGTAAAACTAGTCATGGATAATACACCTATTTTTATCATGAACAGCAGCACTAAGCAGTGAATGAGATTATGAAGTCAATTCTTCTTCAAAAATAAAAATTAAGAAAGCCAGGGCACTTTTAGAAACAATAGAATTTATTTCAGAGAGAAGTAAAAAAAAAAAAAAGAAGTGACAACTGTGTGAGAACATGTAAACCAACTTGTCAACAGTTGCTAAACATGAAGATCAAAGAAGATGTGATTTAAACTACAACAGAATCAAGCTATATTTCTGCTTACGCTTGTATCTCGGCTACCTAGAATAGCATCTAACTTAACAGGTACTCAGTAAGAGCTTACAACATGAAAAAGTGAACAAGAGGAAAATCAAGGGCTTCTAAAGGCCTACAGAGCTAACGTTAGGAATCTAAATATGTAAATATGGCATCACCAAATTGAATGAGGAGATCACTACTGAATTTGGAAGAAAATACAGCAGCTAAGATGAACTTAATTCTTTGTATGGAATAAAGTAAATCTGCCTAATTCACTCCTCCCAAAAGGTAATTATGGCTAATTTTTATTATAAAAATGTTTAAATAAATGTTAATTCAGTAAAAACTATTAGGGGATTAGTGGGTTGTTTAGAGATTCATCTGCAACTTTTTAAAGATGGTATCTCAACTATGTACCATAAAAAAATAGTCCTAGATTTCATGCTCCCAGGAAACAGAAACTAAGTCGGTTCATTTTTTACTACCCTATAGCACAGGGTTTTATTCTGCCTAAGGTTCACAAAATATTTACCTGAAATTAATTAGCACCTATGAAAGATAGGATGGTGAGTTGGGAAGACAAGTTTATTTCTTGTTTTTATTCATGGAATCCAGAAAATGCAGAGTGGGTAAATCAGCCGCTCTCCTCCTCTGACCAGAGCATTTACTTAAATGCACATCGTTTTGAGTCACAAGTAGAGACACTTTAATATTAGTCCCATGTTTTGAGAAGGAAATTTTAACTTTATTTTTCAGCAGTGAAGGGGGAATCAGAAACTAGGCAGTTTAAAGGCCTGGATAATTCGGACTAATTATCTCAGAACTGAAATAAAATGCAGAAAGGCCTCTAAAGCTTACACTGTCCTCTGAGAGCTTAAACTAAGCAACTTGGTCCAAATAACCAAAATTACACACTTCTTCATAATTTCTAATGGATGGTAACTACATGTCTGTTGAATATAACTTATAAGACAGTGGTCATAAGTATACCTAGTTTTTCAGTAAAATTAAAATTTAGCATTAGAGAAGTCTTGAGAGCTTCCTAACTTTAATTATGGCTGATTGATTTCCTACATCGTAAAAGCAAGAGAGTTCCAGAAAAACATCTACTTCTGCTTTATTGACTGTGCCACAGCCTTTGACTGTGTGGACCACCACAAACCCTGGAAAATTCTTCAAGAGATGGGAATACCAGACCACCTGATCTGCCTCTTGAGAAACCTGTATGCAGGGCAAGAAGCAACAGTTAGAACTGGACATGGAGCAACAGACTGGTTCCAAATCAGGAAAGGAATACGTCAAGGCTGTATATTGTCACCCTGTCTATCTAGGTTATATGCAGAGTATATCATGAGAAATGCTGGACTGGATGAAGCACAAGCTGGAATCAAGACAGCCGGGAGAAATACCAATAACCTCAGATACACAGACGACACCCACACTTATGGCAGAAAGCAAAGAAAAATTAAAGAGCCTCTTAATCAAAGTGAAAGAGGAGAGTGAAAAAGTTGGCTTAAAACTCAGCATTCAGAAAACTAAGATCATGGCACCTGGCCCCATCATTTTTCAAAAGACCCTGATGCTGGGAAAGATTGAAGGCAGGAGGAGAAGGGGATGACAGAGGATGAGATGGTTGGATGGCATCACTGACTCAATGGACGTAAGTTTGAACAGGCTCTGGGAGGTGGTGATGGACAGGCAGGCCTGGCATGCTGCAGTCCATGGGATCGCAAATGGTCAGACACGACTGAGCAATTGAACTGAAACAAATTCGTATGTGTAAAGGAAAACTTAGGTTTAGTTCAAAAAAGCCATTCACTTCAAATAAAGCAGATGGAGAGAAAAAAATCTGGTTTGAAATTTTAATACTCGGCTTTATTTTCTTCTCATTAGCTCCCTCTAGTGTACCCAAAATAAGCAACTGATAAAATTAAAAATCAGTTTGATATTTATATCAGTTTCAATGAATTTTAAGCTTGTATTAAAGACTGTGGAAAAGGAAACCGTGTCTAAATTTGAAGGGCAAAAACCAATACTAAAACAAATCTGTCAAGTAATAACAAAATCACAACATGAACTGTTAATGTTCATAAAACAAGGTTTTTTACAGAAAAAAAAATCTCCATTAGCCTTTCAAGTTCAGTACCTAATTACCTGAAGTATCTTTGATGTAATGATGTTTAGCATAATAAAATATTGAAGACTCAAGCCTTAAAAACCATGAAATTCTGAGTTATATTCCAGAAATCATATAGTGATCTATCATTAGAAAGTATTAACGTCCTATCAGCTGACAACTTTATCTGGTCCTTTTTCTGATTTTTTTTTCCAGAACAATCAGAAACCAGATGACTTGCCAGAAGATTTTACTGAGTCACTGTGTCATTTGCGTCCAGGACATCCAAAACGTTATTTGGAGTTGTCCCTCTGGATGACACTCGGGAGGATTTCATGTTCTGAGGCAATCTGGGGACATGAGGTATGTCTTTATTTTCTACTGGGAGAGGGCAGAGCTTATAAAGAGGAGGTGAGAAAGGAGACTCCATTACAAGTATGTATTCAGTCAGAACATTTTAGGAAAGAATGCATGTGGAAACTGAGGAAGGAGAAGCAGAGTTGCTAAAAACTATCTGGGTCTACCCCGGCCTTGTACAGTCTTTGTGTATCACCAGAAGTGCACAGAGACAAGTGTGAAGACAGTGCAGTGTCTGATGGTAAAGGTACTATCACAGTATGCCAACAGATGGGCAGCTAGAGTTCTCGTAAGGAAAATATCTGTTCCAGTAAGGTTTGCTTACCCAAGCTTCGAAACAGCTCCCAGAGTGAAAATGTCTTTTGCATTAGACTGTTTAGTTGAGAAAATTACCTTTAAAGGTTTACCCTAGCACTTTGAATTGTACTGTTTGTGGTTTGATACCAAATTACCTCAATAAGGCTGCTAGATAATCATTAAAAAAAAAAAGGCACTATTCATGTCTGTAAACAAAACAAAGATCTATGCTCCTGTAGAACTTAAAATTCTAGTGCGGGGGGGGGGGAAGCATTAAAAATAAAAATAATATGAATTATATAGTAGGTCAGAAAATACTGAATGCTATAGGAGGAAAAAAAAAGGGTTCGAGGGATCAGGCATGCAGGATCAGTGGGTGCAGCCTGCAGCAGGCAGTCAGGACAGGCCTCGCGGCACAGGGAAGACTTGAGGACTTGAAGGAGGTTAGGGGTCAACCAAGTAGGTATGTGAGGAAAGTGTCTCCCAGAGAGCTAGTGAAAAGGCTGTGAGAGAGCAGCCTGTTAGATATGGATGAAGACCTGCAAGGAGGTCAATACGGCTGGCATGGAGTGAGCAAGGGGCAAGACTACAGAAGACGAAGCTACAGGAAAAATGGAGGTGTTGCCACTGTGGAGAACAGTATGGAGGTTTCCTAAAAAACCACAAACAGAATTACCATATGATTCAGCAACCCCATTCCTGGGCATGTATCTGGAAAAGACAAAAACTCTATCTCGACAAGATACATACACCCCAATGTTCATCAATAGATGAATGGATAAATAAGATGTGGCACTGCCATTTGCAGCAAAATCATGGACCTAAAAGATTATCATACTAAGTGAAGTAAATCAGAGAAAGACAAACATGATATTGCTTATGTGAAATTAAAAAAAAAAAGTACAAATGAACTTATTTACAAAACAGAAACAGATTCACAGACACAGAAAACAAATTTACGGTTACCAAAGAAGAAAGGGGATGCGGAATAAGTTAGGAGTTTGGGATTAGGCTTCTGTGGTGGCTCAGACGGTAAAGTGTCTGTCTGCAATGTAGGAGACCCAGGTTCAATCCCTGGGTTGGGAAGATCCCCTGGAGAAGGAAATGGCAGCCCACTCCAGTACTCTTGCCTGGAAAATCCTATGGACTGAGGAGCCTGGTAGGCTACTGTCCATGGGGTTGCAAAGAGTCAACATAACTGAGAGACTTCACTTTCACTTTCATTTTGAGATTAGCAGATACACACTACTCTATCTACAAAACAAATAAACAATAATAACCTACTGTATAGCACAGGGAACTATACTCAGTATGTTCTAGTAACCTATAATGGAAAAGAATCTAAAAAAGAATACACACACACACACACACACACACACATATATGGTATAACTGAATTATTCTGCTATACACCTGAACACTGAAAATCAACTATACTTCAATGAAAAAAAAAATTAAAAAAATAGGCCAGTTCAGCCAGGTCATATGGTGCTGTGGAAACCATGGTGAGGAATTTGGATTTTTACACTAAGGGAAACATAAAGTTCTGAAAAGAACAGTGACATGGGTTGACCTAGTGTGCTGAAAGAATTATCCTAGTTCCTCTGTTGAAGATAACCTACAGGGCTACAAGGGTAGAAACTGATGACCTGTTAGAAGGTGAATGCAAGATTTCAGCAAGACCTTGTGATGGCTTCACCCAGGGTGGAGGCAATGAAGACAGTGATGAGCAGCCAGATGCTGGATGTATTTTGAAGGTATAGTGAACAAGATTTCCTGATGAAATGGACATGGGTAATGAGAGAAATCAAGGATGACTCCAGGTTTCTCACCTGAGAAAATGGAAGAACACAGATGTCATCAATTGAGATGGAGAAACCTTGGGGAAACAGATCAGAAAGAAAGAAAAGTAGCTGAGGACTAGACATACTGAGACAGTCAAGTGAAGGTATCAAAAAGGCAACTTTTATATAAACCGAGTTTACATGAGAGGTCTATGCTGGAGATATAAACTCAAATCTGTCAGCACACAGCGGCTACTCAAAGCCATGGGACTGGATGACATCATCACGAGGCTGGGGAGAAAAGGAAGCGCCAACAAAGAAAGCAGAAAGGAATCAGAGGCAGGGAAGAGACCAAGTGTGGCATCCGTGAGCATCAAAGACATTACAGAGGAGTCTTAAGGCCCATGCTAGCACAAAGTAGACGGAACTACACTGGTGACCTTGAGAGCACATCCTCAGTGGAGTGGAGGGGGGTGACACCCTGACTGAGGTGAGTGTTGAGAGAATATGAAGAAAGAACTAGAGATAAAAGTGTTGGCAACTCCGGAAATTTTGCTGCAAAATGAAGCAAAAAGCTAAGGTAGGAGGTGATGGGGAAAAAGGGGTAAAAAACTAAGGTTTTCTTTGGTTTATTTTTTCCTTTTAAGGTGGGAGCAGTGTCTGTATGCTGATGAACTGTTCATTTGTTCTGCATGTCTGTATACTGATGGTGAAGATAAAATGTGTATGAGAGGGAGGGCAGAGCTCTTGGAACTTTAGCACCTAGAAGGCTAGAGGGGACTCTGTCTAGTATGGTAATAGGATTGGTTTGGATAATTGACAGTGTTTTTTTGTTTGTTTGTTTTTAATGATTATAGGCCAGAAGACTATACGAGATTCAAGTGGAGGTGTGAGTATGCAAGTGTATGAAATCTATCATCTGCCACTACTATGTAAGGATTATAGACACCTACAGATGCAATCACAAGGTCATCTTCCTTCACTATCAAAAACTACAGCAGTGTCTTCCTTTTGGTAAGTGCATTATAAGATTTAATAGGTTTCTACATGCTGGTGAGACCCTGGAAAACTCTGGTTATACACAGGCATTGTGTCTATAACTTGCCAGGTAGTTGGGTCTCTAAGGTAAGTCTGTTAAATGGACAAGGAAAGGGAAGACTCAAAGTAAGCAAGCTAAGAAAGCTTTTTCGGTGAGTGGCTGAGTCCCCTCACCAAGTACAGAGAAAAGCGGGACTCATAAGGTAAATTTAAAACCTGTTTACTATTCTGGAAATTTCTAAATACATAAGAATCCCATAAACCATAAGAAATAAAGTAAATTATTACTAATAGTGATAGTAATAAAAAGCTTATGAGATGCAAGGGATAACTGCAGCAATGGATTTAAACATTAATACCGGGTTAAGAAGATTCTTTCAGGACTAACATCTCTCTTTTTGTGCTCTGGCATGTGGGTCATCCCTGCTCCCAATAATCAAAATTCCACTGTATCGTTGTTAACACTAGAGAGTTGTCCAATTAAAAACCAAATCAGTATTTCAGTATGTAAAAACCCAACTGCTCCACAGAGACCATAGAATCATCATCAGAATTATGAAAAAATAAATTAGCAGTTTCTATATCCTAAGAAGACGTTCTATTACTCACTTTTAATCCCGCTGCATAGCCCACTGGTTGTGGGGCAATGTTGGACTGTCCGGCTTCCCCTATAACCACAGCTAGGCCGAAGACCTCCTGGAAGGCATCTCGGACGGCAGCAACTTTTACTTCTTTATTCGAGGTCACTACAATATCCAGTTCACCTCCAGATTCTAAAAAGACCAGAAGAAAATTTCAAATTAATGAAATTCTCATAATTACTACACGCCCTAACATTTTATGACATAATTAGTACCAACCTGGCAAAACGACACAAGATACAGATTAACCTTTTTATTGGCTGAGGAAACTGAGGCCGACAAGGTCTTGCCCGAGGTCACACAGCTACTTAGCAGTGATGTCAGGACTCAGCCCTAGGCCTGTCCATTTTGAGTCTAGCGTGGGGAAGTCACGGAGCCTGCTTCCTTAAAGAAAAATTCCTGCCACTCACAGAGCTTGCTCTAAGGATTAATAAGGTAAATGCTTCAAATAGGTAATGGGTCTAATACAATACACATTAAAACAAGAGCTCTGAAAATACTAATTCTCTTTTCCTCATTAAAAATAAGATCCTGTGAAAAGAATATATATACAAATTATATCAAACTTGATTACTATGAATAATATAAAATCAATATATATGGTACGGTCCAATTGTGATAATTAGAAACATAGAGACCAATTCAGTTGAATTAATTCTTTGATTCAATTTTCTACTTAAAGGGAAGCAAAGTGGCTGTTAGCTCCACCAAGCTGTATGACGGAGAATAATAATAAATTTCTCTGAACACAAGTTCCTCATCTAAAACTTGGGGAAAATAACACCTAGCTTGCAGATCTCTTATGAGAATTAGTATCTGGCAGATCAAATATTTAATAATGCTTTACATACTGATATACGGAGCCATGCCAGGGTCCAGCGTTGTGATCATGCTTTCTACCGAATGTTTCGTTTTATCGAGCACGGATTTCACCATAGGGTTCCCAGCCACACCCTGCACAGAACAAATTCACATGTAAATACTCATTCTAAGCAAAGATCACTGTGATTACTGGATGGTGAAAAAAAATTTAAGTTTCCAATGCACTGCAGACCTATACTTTTGTAAAGTGTAAGAAAAATAAGGCTATGGCAATGTCAAATTACTATGAAATTTCAAAATGCTTCCCCTCAACTTCTCTTCATCTCATTGTGACTGACAGTAACCTACAGACCCTACTTCAAGCAACACTGACCTGTTTATTGTATATACGCATATGTGTATGCATATATGTTAATTTCATTTCTATGTATACATATATTTTTACTTATTATTTATTTAGTTATCTATATAAAAGACTAGGCAAAACTTGTCCATTAGGGTCTCAAATAAAGACTGTAATCAAATGTTTCTCCAAACACTCATATTTTGTTCCCTAATAGTAAAACAATTTATCTTTACTTCCCAGAAAAATTACTTATTACTTTAATATTAATACTCTATATCTATGAAAGTTTTCTTTTCTCCTACTCCCTATTTGTTTTGTTCCAAACTCTCAGGTCTTTTAAAAAAGACCTATTCCTCTGAATTCTTAAAACCACACTATTAGATAGAAAGAACCAGATCTGAGGAGTTCCTTCCATCTATGCTTCTCCCACAGTGGAAGAGACTTAGAGGGAGCAATGCCTCCTGAGATGGCATCTGGCTGACAGGCCATGATTCCACCTGTCTCAACCTACCATTAAACTAAGGTGATTCAAAACAAAAAATGACTTCATAACATCGATATTTAAGACTGTCAACTCATCTTATGCTGAATATTAAAAGAGTTATTTACAAAATCTGTATAGCTGAACTATTGCAACTGGTAACTGACATGCTAACACAGGCTCTTAACAAGGAAAAGAAGTCATAGTTCCTACATAAAGAAAACCTTTAAAAAGCACAAAGTGATAAAAAGAAGCAAGCTTAGAAAAAATGCCATTTTTCTAATACATAAAGCTCAAATGCTGTAAATCAGTTTAACTCCCTAACAATTAAACAATACGTTTAACATATAATCAAATTACAACCAAACCCTCAGAATATTGAAGGGTACTTGACAAAGTGACTTTGGAATCATTTAAGAAAGTGGTTAAGAAAAATAAATGGAAAAGACCAGTAGAGAAAAATTTTGAAGAGAAAACAGAAAACTTATACAACCAAATGCTGATCTGTCTTTAAGAATGCAAAGACTGCGAACTTACCTTTCCATCTGATTCAACAGATATTCCAATCCCCACCTCAGCACAGAGTAGGCTTTCAATAAATATTAGTGTAACAAACAATTACAATAATTAAAATAGTGTGGTACTGCTGCAAGGACAGGCAGAGCAGGGAATAAAATACACAGCCCACTAACTGACATTATCAGACACAATTTAGTAACTAAGATGAAGGTGACATATCAAATCACTGGGATATGATTTTAGAATACTCGATTAAGTGGTTGGAAAAAAAAAGTAAGTTTGATTTCTACCTCCACAATATATTAAAGTATCAGCTATATCAAACGATCTGGTAAAAAATACTGCCATAAGAAAATTAAATCATAAAAAAACAATGATCACAATGTAGTAGGTAAAGATCATTTTTATCATTTAAAAAAACTCATAGAAATGACTTCCAAAAATTTAGAAGATTTTGTGTCAATAAAGCATAATAAAGTTGAAATGTAAGATAAAAATGGAGAATATGGCAACATATGACAGCATAAAATAAAATATTCGTAAGAGTTCTTATGAAGTCACTAAAGAAGAAAGTAATCCCAATTCAAAACTGGGCAAAGAATATGAATACAGACATCACAAAAGAAAAATACAAATGGTCAAAAATCAGTTTAAAAAATAGCTCAAATTCAATAACAAAGTAATGTAAATTTAAACAAGGTATTGTTTTCTTTGCCTATCAAATTAGAAAATAATAATCATTTCTGGCAAGTGAAAGATCTTACAACAGGGTGTTCTGGTATAATTTACCTGGAGAGCAATATATACCTGTAGTTTTTAAAATGTTCACACTGACATTAGGAACTAACTCTGATAAAGCAGAAGTACACAAAGATTTGCATACAAGAGGCTCACCATAATTTTATTAATAAGAATTACAACCAGAAAACGCCAACAACAGGTTAGTGAAATAAAACACAGGAAATAAATGCAATGAATGACATGTTGGGCAAAGTAAACTGAATATTTTATGGCCAGAAAGTTGTTCATGATCACTAGGTAAAACTAAACAAAAGACACAAAATTGTATCCACATGTCACTACTTCACTTTGCTTTTAATTAAAGAGATATATCTACCTAGATATGCACATCCAGAAGACTAAGAGGAACTATAGAAAGAGTATAGTAAAAGTGAAAGGCACTCGGTTGTGTTCAACTCTTTGCAACCCCATGGACTATACAGTCCATGGAGTTCTCCAGGCCAGAATCCTGGAGTGGGTAGCCTTTCCCTTCTCCAGGCGATCTTCCCAACCCAGGGATCGAACCCAGGTATCCCGCATGGCAGTGGGTAGCCTATCCCTTCTCTAGCAGATCTTCCAAACCAAGAAATCAAACTGGGGTCTCCTGCATGACAGGTGGGATTCTTTACCAGCTGACCTATCAGGGAAGCCCAGAAAAAGTGTAATAAGACTAAAAAGATATTTTACAATGATTTTTCCTTATACTATTCTTCTCTTTAAGTTTTATAATTAAAAAATTACACACAGTTTTTAAAGTAAATACCCCTTACCTTTATAAAACCCCAGAGTCCACCAGCTGAAGCTTCATCCTGACCTCTACCAATTCTAGGGTCTTCCTGCTCTTCTGGGAAAGTGATGGCTGATGTAGTTCCAGTTCCCTGTGCCACAGATGTCAAACCAGCTTGCTGAGTAATAGGAGTTGGCAAAATACCTAGTTAATGGCAAAAATGTTAACATATGTCATTTATTCCATAAAATATCTCCTATAAAAAAGATGATAAACATATGAAATAGGTAGTTCAAAACAACTTTAATCATGTTACTATATACTCAGGCATTTCAACACTGAGATATGAATTCAAAGAATCACCTAAATAAATTATACGAACTCCAAAAAAGAAATTTCTTTCCCTCTTCTTAGGCTTACTATCTAGTGCCCTGAAAATGGACCAAAAAATATACCCAAAAGTACTTCATGTTTGCCCAATGTAGCACGTGGACGCAAACAGCTATAGCCTGATTCTCCTTAAACCATAAAAATAACTGTTATGAGCACTCAAGCTCATCATACAAAATTCATATAAAAATTAGTAAACATATCCATATATGATATTTTAACTCAAAAAGAAAATCCACATATACATACACATGGGTATCATACCTGCACTCTGCAAAAGTTTTTGTTAAACTAGATAATCCAAAGTGGATTAAAAAAAAAATCACAACAAAGTTGTTTCTTTTCCTAAAATTAGAGAAACAATAGGAAGAATATGACAGGATGAAGTTTTAATACTGATTTCCAATAACCATTCCAGGGAAGCCAAAAAAAGTAGGTGTTCTTGACCTAGAAAATAAAATAGTCCAATACCACCAACTTACGGTACATACACTTTAATTTGATTTTGAACTTTTACATGGCTAAATAAACTACTTCCTGGATCACTCGGTCCTGATAATTTTTAAGTAAAGCTAAACTCAGACTTCACCGTGGTGTTTCTCTATAACCACACAAAATATTAGGACAAAATTTTGGAATTTTGTCTGACATTTCCCTTCCTTTGTGGCTCAGCTGGTTAAGAATCTGCCTGCAATACAGGAGACCTGGGTTGGATCCCTGTATTGGGAAGATTCTCCTGGAGAAGGGAAAGGCTACCCACTCCAGTGTTCTGGCCTGGAGAATTCCATGGACTGTACAGTCCACGGGGTCACAAAGAGTCAGACACAACTGAGTGACTTTTGCTTTCACATACTAACCATGTTCTAAGTTTTATATCATATCATAAAAATCATATATTTAGCAACATCAGTTTTAATACTTTAAATGAAAATAGGAAGCTCTGGAAATCAAGGAATATTCATGCAGAGTAACAAGAACCCTCCTTAATGCTGCTAAGAAAGTAAAATGAATGGTGCAGCTGCTTTAGACAGTAGTCTGATGGTTGCACTAAAGTCAGCAATTCTGACATGCACCCCAAGAGCAGCACTATTTACAAGAGCCAAGACATGGAAGCAACCTAAATGTCCATCAACAGATCAATCAATAGATGTGGTATATGTATACACAATGGGATATGTATACTCAGCCATAAAGAATGAAATGATGCCTTTTGCAGCAACATGGATGGACCTAGAAATTATCATACTAAGTGAAGTAAATTAGACAAATATCACATTATTACTTACATGTGGAATTTTAAAACATGATGCAAATGAACTTATTCACAACACAAACTCACAGACATACCAAAAAAAAGAAAAAAATTGATGGTTATCAAAGGCGAAAAGGGGGGATAAATTAGGAGTTTGGGATTAACAGAAAAACATTACTATATATATATAACAGATAAATAACAAGGACCTACTGTATAGCACAGGGAACTCAATATCTTGTAATAACCTATAATGGAAAAGAATCTGAAAAAGAATAGATATAGATATATGCGTAACTGAGTAACTATGTGCACACCTGAAACTAACACAATGTTATAAAGCAACTTTTTCAATTTATTAAAAAAAAAAAAAAAATGAAGCCCTTCAGGAAAAAGAAAAACACTCAGCAAGTCTGAACCTAGGTACATACTCAAAAGAAATGAAAACATTTCTACATAAATCTTGCACACCAAGGTTCATAAAATCAGTACTCACCATAGCCAAAAAGTGGAAACAACCAACAGTTTATCAACTGATGAAATGAATAAACAAAACATGGGACAGCCATACAACGGAATATAGTTCAATCCTAAAAAGCAAGAACGCTCTGACACCTGTTACAACACGGATGAATCTTGAAGACATCACACTAAGTGAAAGTGGCCTGTCACAAAAGACTGCATACTAATACAAGTCCATTTAAGAGGAAATGTCCCAAACAAGCACGTCTACAGAGACAGAAGGTACATTAGTGGTGCTGAGAACCATGACGACTGGGAGAAGTATGGAGTGACTGCTAACAGGTATGCAGTTATCTTTGGGGGTGATTAAAAGGTTCTAAAATCGACTGTGGTGATGGCTGCACAACTTGGTAAATATAGTAACAACTATTACACTGTACACGTGAAAGGGAATTGTATGGGAATTCCACCTCAGTAAAGCTGTTATAAAAAACACCAGATGAAACATCCCCCATAGCCACCCGTTTCAAAGCGTCGACGAGAGCGTACCTGCCGCCGGAGGCGCGGAAAACGACGGCATCAGGGGCGTCTGCGGGGCTCTCCCTGCGTGTCCCCTGGTGATGTCGTGCGCTGAGCCAACCGAGAATCCGGAAGTGGGGGGGCCCGCTGGGGGCGCAGACAAGACAGGGTTTGGGGCAGAGGCGGAGGGCGGGAAGTGGGACAGAGGAGGATTACTGAAGGCAGCCGCAGTCGGCGGAGAAGCGGGAGGTGGCAGGGAGGTGACGAGCGGAGGGACAGAAGGAACGGGTGCGGACGTCAGGAAGGGCAAGGGCGCCGCAGGCTGCACAGGAGGCAGGGGCGGCTGGGGGGCGGGGTACGCCTGCGGCGGCAAGGTCTGCACAGAGGGCCCGCTGGGAGAAGGGAAGGTGCTGGCTGCGGCTAGGAGAGAGGGGAGGAAAATCACACTCAGTGACATGCTTTTAATTTAGTTTTCAAAGCATCTCATTACCATCTTGGAAAATTTTTAAATTGAACAGACCCTATTCCCAAGAGTTATCTTTAAATACGTAATTTAAAATACATGAGTATGACTGAGCGCAAATGACTTTCAACTCCCATCAGTAAAAGCAGCAGGTCTATAAAATTATGGTATTGCAGATCTTTGCTGTTTCTGTTTGTTTTGCTGTGCTTTTAATAAAATAGACCTGCTTTTCATCTCTGCTAATACGAGCATAAAACTTCACAATTTAGGGCTGAAAAACTTTGGTCAGAAGGTTAATCTCCACAAAGTCACAGAACATTAGACAAAGCTAACACATGCTTTTTAGGATATTTCTGTCATAACAAAGATGATTTCTAGTTAATATAAAAACAAAAAATAAAAATTAAAGCAAAACAAAGATGTTTTCTGCCTTTGGCTTAAATAAAAGAGGCTATTTACCTTCATCCTGGCAAAGATTACAAAAGTTTTAATATAGAGGCACACCTCAATTTATTTTGCTTCATTTTACAAACTGAAGGTTTGTGACAACCCTTACATCAAGCAAGTCTATCAGTGCCGTTTTACCCGGCAGCATTTGTTCTTCGTGCCTCTGCGACATTGTACCTCTCAAAATATTTCAAACTTTACATTATTATTCTATTTGTTATGGTGATTCATGATCACTGACCTTTGGCATTGCAAAAAGATTACAACTCACTGAAGACCCAGATGACAGCCAGCATTTTAAAGCAATGCTTTAGCAAAGTATTTAATTGTAGTAGGTACAGTTTTCTTTTTTAGACATAGACATAATCTATTGCACATTTAAGAGACTACAGTATAGTGCAATCATAATTTCTATATGCACTAGGAAACAAAAAAATTCATGTGACTTGCTTTATTGCAGTGGTCTGAAACTGAACTCACAGTATCTCTGAGGTATGTCTCTAGGCTTTTGCTAAATGACTCTGAGAAAAGATGACAGTATCCTGACTCTCCTCAAAACCCACTGATGCTAGACAACTGCACGTACCTAAAGGAGCCGGGGCGGAAGACAGTGCAGCAGCAGAAGCCAGGCCCCCAGAATTCGGTGGGGGGGTCCCAGGTGGTGTTGTCTCTATTCCACTCTCTTCCATCATTTTTCAATTTCAGTACAACTGTAAAAATATTAAAATGTAATAAAGATTACACAGTAATAAAAAGTATACTTTTAAACCTTGTATAGTTAGAAAATAAAGCATTTAGAGAAGAGTTAACACCTATCCTTCTCAAACTCTTCAAAAAAAAAAATTGTAGAGGGAGGGACACTCCCAAACTCATTCTATGAGGCCACCATCACCGATACCAAAACCAAAGACATCACACACAAAAAAAGAAAATTACGGCCAATTACGGGCCATGTTCATCACTGATGAACACGGACACAAAAATCCTCAACAGAATACTAGCAAGCAGAATCCAACAACACATTAAAAAGATCACACACCATGATCAAACGGGATTTATCCCAGGGATGGAAGAATTCTTCAATATATGCAAATCACTCAATGTGATACACAATATTAACAAATGGAAGGGGTAAATCATAGGAAAATCTCAATAGATGCAGAAAAAGCTTCCAACAAATTTCAATACCCATTACAAAAACATTTCAGAAAACAGGCACAGAGCAAACCTACCTTAACACAGTAAATGCCATATATGACTAATCCACAGCAANTCCAAAAAATAAACAGCCCAATCAAAAAATGGATGGAAGACCTAAATAGTTACTTCTTCAAGGAAGACATACAAATGGCTAATAAAAACACGAAAAAGTGCTCAATACCATTTATTACTAGAGAAATGCAAGTCAAAACTACAATGAGATATTACCTCACACTGGTTAGAACGGCCATCATCAAAAAAATCTACAAACAATAAATGCTGGAGAGGGTATGGAGAAAAGGGAACCTTCGCACACTGTGAGACTATAAATTGATACAGCTACTACGGAGAAGAGTATAGAGGTGCCTTCAACTAAAAATAGAACTAACATACGATCCAGCAATCCCACCATTTGGGCACATACTCTGAGAACACCATCATTCAAAATACACACGCGCCCCAGTGTCCACTGCAGCACCATCTGCAACAGCCAGCACACGGAAGCAACCCAGACGTCCATCAACAGATGAATGGATGAACATGTAGGGGTACATACACACAACGGAATAGTACTCAGTCATAAAAAGGAAAAAAACTGGGTCAGGACAGACCCAAGTCTGTCATACAGAGTAAAGTAAGTTAGAAAGAGAAGATATCATGTATTAACACATATGTATGAAATCTAGAAAGATGGTACAGGCGAGTCTGTTTGCGGGGCAGGAACAGAGGTGTAGACAGAGAGAACAGGCATGTGGACACGGTGGGGGGTGGGGAGAGCAGGCCTGACATATACACACTACCATATGTAGGGCAGATAGGCAGAGGGAAGTTGTGTAACACTGTAACAGGGAGCTCAGCGCAGGGCTCCGTGAGGACCAGCAGGGAGGGACTGGCTGGTGGGGTGGGAAGGCGGCTTAGGGGCGCGGTATATGACTTCATATAGCTGATCCACTTCGTTGTCCAGCAGAAACACACACAACACTGTAAAGGGACTATACGCCAATAAAATAAAATAAAAATTACATAGCTCAAGTGTAAATACATAACCAACAGATAGATGTCTGTTTTTACTGTATACAATGCCACTTATCTCCAGGTGAAGGATTTGCCAAAATTTTAAGTAGTGAGACTATTTAATGTGCAAACAATCTGAGACATTTTCATACACCTACTTCATAATTGAGAAATAATTTTATGTTAGCTATGTAATTACCCAATATATTTCAAATAGTAAATTACTAATTTAATTTCTGCCACAGGAATGCATGTTAGATTTATATCTAGATTCCAGTCACTATTACTTCAAAAATAAATTATGTAAAGTATTTCTGAAACACTTCCTCCCTCCTCACTAAGCAGTGTACATGGGCTACTCCTGTTAACAGGCTACTCCACTTCCCAGGTGGCTCAGAGAAAAGAATTTACGTGCCGAAGCAGAAGATGTGGGTTCGATCCCTGGGTTGGGAAGATCCCCTAGAGAAGGAAAAGGCAACCCACTCCAGTATTCTTCCCTATTCCCAGTTTTTCTTTGTTTACATTCTAAAAACCGCCCACCTGCCAAGGCAAGAGAAACGGGTTTGATCTCTGGGTCAGGAAGATCTCCTAGAGAAGGAAATGGCAACCCACTCCAACACTCTTGCCTACGAAATTCCATGGACAGGAGAGTCTGGCAGGCTAGTCCACAGGATTGCAAGAGTCAGACGTGACTTAGCAACTAAACAACAACATAATGGCTACATGATTAGGTCTCAGCTTTTAGAAAAGTCAGTTTTTAGCAAAAGTGCCAGGAGCATTTTTCCTAACAGACAAAAATGGATTACAAAAATGTTGGAAAATTTTCCTTAAAAATTACAAACTTTCAAGCCTACTTCAAGGATAAAATGAGAACTTCTAAATACATCACAAATACGTTTTTGAAGTTTTTACTCATTTCACAGATATTCAGCGAAGGTCAATCACTTGCCAAGCACTACACTGGTGCCTCTGGAAATAAAAGACTGTAAGCAAAAACAAATAGGATACTTACAGTCCAGCCCAGGAGACAACCAAGAACACCAACATACAGTGAACTGTAGCCTGAATGATGTACTCGGAGGATAAGAACAATTCTGTTTGCTAGAAAATGATTTTGACTTGGGGTCAGAAAGGGATGATCAGGATTTAATTAGGAAAGGGAAAGAAGACAAGGAGGGTACATGCCAAAAAAAGTGAATATACAGAAAGTCAGAAAGGAACAGGAATGAGGATTGGAGACCTGGATGGGAGCCCAGACTGTACTGAGATTTACAAGCCAAGTTAAAGAGTAGAATCTTCTAAGAACAGAAAGTCACCGTGGGGGCATTCAAACTAGGGATGATGTTACTTGTCTTTTAATTTCTTTGAAGGAATTTTAGACTTATAAGAAGATGCCAATACAGGGCAGAGTTCATCAGTACCCTAAACCTAGCTCCTTCCAATGACAGCATCCTACATAACTAGGGTTCAACCATAAAATCTAGGAAATTAACTCTGGCACAATATGGGTAACTGAAGTATAATCCTTCTTTGGATTTCACCTGTTTTTATTCACATGTGTGAGTCTGTATGCAGTTCTATGACATTTCATCATATGCACTGACTCTCGGAGCCAACACCACAATCAGGACACAGAATTGTTCCATCTCCCCAAACAAACTCCCACGTGCTGTTCCTTGGTTACACCCTCTCATCTGCCATACACCCTGACAAACAACTGTTCTCTGTTTTCTCATTTCATGAATGTTACAAAAATAAAACCATACTGCATATAAGCCTTCTGAAATTGGCTTTTTTCATGCAAAAGGGTGCTCTCAAGATCCATCCAAGCCGTTGGATGGATCGTTGGTTGGTTCTTTATCATTGCTGAATACTATCCCATTTTATAGATGTTTGATTATCCATTTATTTGCTGAAGGATATTTAGGCTGCTTTAGGCAATTCATATTTGTGTTTTGAAAACATTCCTCTGACCGAAAAATGCAGACAGTACCATAGGGCATCTACACAGAACAGCAGGGAGACCCTTAAGAAGGATACTGAAGTATTTCAAATAACATTCTAGACTAGTGATTCTCAAACAGGGAGTGAAGAAGGGTGATCTGCCCCTCAGGGGTCATTTGGCAGTGTCTGAAGACATTTTTGTGGTCCAGTGGTTAAGAATTTGCCTTCCAGTGCAGGGGTCATAGGTTCAAACCCTGGTTGAAGAACTAAGATCCCCACATGCTGCAGGACAACTAAGCGTGCACACTCCAATTGCTGAGCCCGCACGTGACAACTAGAGAAACCCATGCATTGAGAAGAACGATCTTGCATGCCACAGCTAAGACCCAGGTAGCCAAAGAAATAAATATTAAAAAAAACCAACAACTACAAAGTATTAGGGGTATCTAGTGGGTAAAAGCTGGAGATACAGCTAAAAATTCTACAATGCACAGGACAGTCACAAGAATTATCTGGCCCCAAACAACAATGCCAAGGTTGAAAAACTCTGGTTTAGCCTAAAGTGATGACAGTGGAGATGGAGAAGAGTGGACAGACTCGGGAGATGTTTAAGTGGGAAGACCCAGCAATAGGCTGGATATGGGGTCCAGGAAGTGGAGAGGCATGACCCGCACACCCGGACAGATGGTGGTGCCATTCAATAAGATAAGGAGCACTGGAGGAGGTCAAAGTGTGTGTCTGATGTTTTGGGAAAGAAGGGATTACACAGTATTTCATATTGGACATGCTAAGTGCAAACTCCTTGAAGCAACCAAGTACAGCTGACTTGGTTTGCAGCTCAGAAACCACATAAATGGGGGCTTCGTCAGTTCACTGACAGTCCCTAAAGTCATGTGCTGAAAAGCGATAATCTGAGAAGACTAAGTGAAAAAAGAAGATGGCCCAACGAGGGGAAAAAAACACCTGCAGAGAAGAATGAGAGACCACAAAAACAGGAAAAAAACCATAAGGCAGTGGTGTCCAAAAACCAGAGAAGGGTGTTCAAGGCAATGGTATCGGATGCTGCAGAGAAGCCAAATAGGATGACATATGAAAAAGTCAATAGATTTGCCAAACTGGAGTTAAAATTTAGTGAGAACTGTTTCCAAAATGGAGTGAGGATAGAAGCCAGTTTCAAACTGAACTGAGGTAGGAAGTAAAACAAATATGCACAACACTTTTAAAACTTTTACTATGAGTGTAGATGAAAGATCTATGGGCAGGAAGTAGAAAGCAGATATCCAGACAGGCAAGATCCTTTCATTCAACAACATCTACTTCTGCTTCGTTGACTATGTTAAAGCCTTTGACTGTGTGGATCACAATAAGCTGTGGAAAATTCTTAAAGAGATAGAAATACCAGATCACCTTACCTGCCTCCTTAAAAATCTGTATGTAGGTCAAGAAGCAACAGTTAGAAGAGGATATGGAACAATGGACTGGTTCAAAATTGGGAAAGGAGTACGTCAAGGCTGTATATTGTCACCCTGCTTATTAAACTTATAAGCAGAGTATATAATGTGAAAGGCCAAGCTGGATGAAGCAGAATTTGGAACTGAGACTGCTGAGAGAAATATCAACAACCTCAGATGTATACATGAGACCACCCTAAAGGCAGAACGTGAGAAGGAACTAAACAGACTCTTGATGAGGGTGAAAGAGGAGAGTGAAAATGCTGGCTTAAAACTCAACATTCAAAAAACTAACATCAAGGCAACTGGTCCCATCACTTCATGGCAAATAGATGGGGGAAAGGTGAAAACAGTGGCAAATTTTATTTTCTTCAACTCCAAAATCACTGTGGAATAGTGACTGCAGCCATGAAATTAAAAGACATTTGCTCCTTGGAAGAAAAGCTATGACAAACATAGACAGTGTATTAAAAAGCAGAGACATCACTTTGCCAACAAAAGTCCGTTAGTCAAAGCTATGATTTTTCCAGTAGTCATGTACGGATGTGAGAGATGGACCATAAAGAAGGCTGAATGCCGAGGAATTGGTGCTTTTGAATCATGGTACCAGAGAAGACTCTTCAGGGTCCCTTGGACAGCAAGGAGATCCAGTCAATCCTAAAGGAAGTCAACCCTGAATATCCATTGGAAGGACTGATGCTGAAGCTAAGGCTACAGTACTTTGGCCACCTGATGCAAACAGATGGCTCATTGGAAGAGACCCTGAGGCTGGGAAAGATTGAAGGCAGGAGGAGAAAGGGGTGAGCACAGAGGATGAAATGGTTGGATGGCATTACTGATTCAATGGACATGAGTTTAAGCAAGCTCCGGTAGACAGTGAAGGACAGGGAAGCCTGGCATGCTGCAGTCCATGGGGTTGAAAAGAATTAGACACGACTCAGTGACTAAACAACAGATCAAAGGTAGATAATATGGGACAGAACCACCTTCTGGGGACTTTATCACTCCCTGACAAAGCTCTCTCTTTTCATCTCATTTTTTCACTGGTTATTCATCTTCCTACTACAAATGCTACCAATCCTCAAAGTGATTAGTGGGAGTCAAATTTAAAGATAAACATAACTGAATGAAGTGCAATGTTTACACTTGCAAAAGACCTTGTACAATGAATACAACCCATAAAATGGAATATTGGTCAATTTCTTTCTGTCTTTAAAAGCTAGACTGTTTGAGAACTAGCTTAACGACAATACTGGGTAAATCTTGGATTCATAAACAATGTGCTCAATCATGTCTGACTCCTTGTGACCCTTGGACTGTAGCCTACCAGGCTCCTCTGTCCATAGAATTCTGCAGGCCAGAATACTGGAGGGGGTAGCCATTTCCTCCTCCAGGGGATCTTGCCCACCCAGGGATCAAACCCAAGTCTTCTGCACTGTATGAGGATTCTTAACTGCTGAGCCACCAAGGAATATAATACCAGCTACTAAAGAAAAGTTTGTGATAAAAGTAACAGGGAAATGTCAGAGTTGTAGAGGTTCTAAAAGCTTAGTCTCAACACAAAAATTATATTAATGTATCAGCATTAAAGAAAAAGTGATGGAAATGGGTTGGAAAACTGGGTCCGTTTCTGGATGCACTCTGTTCTTCCAATCTGCTTGTGCCTTGGATTGTCTCTTAAAAGTAGGTGGCTATTTATAAAGATACAAGAGGTGGAATAATGAACCTCTGATAAACATAAAATCTTATTAAAAACCATTACTACTGTTAATGTACTGCCGGTTCAAAAGATGCTCTCTACTACCCTTTAGTGAGCACTACTGCAGGAAGGTCTGAGTTTTGTCTCTGCATTCCCAGTTCTGATCCCAAAAATAACTTCTATAAATGTTCATTGACCAAATAGCAGCGGTAAAGAAAAAGACTGGAATGTCAAAATGTGTCATGTTCGCGGAAACATACATGCTGTCTCTCAAGAACTACTTCCAACGACACTCTCTTAAACTGGACAAATTCTGCCAATCTAGGACACAGGCTATCCCGCAAATGTGCTCAAAGCAGGTCCTCAAAATGGACAGACAGAGAGCAGAGTGCAAAAGCCCTCCAGAGCGGCGCTAGGCATCTAAGGGGGAACCCACTGTTAAAGAAGCTCCTTCTTAGTGCCCGTCCCCATTTGTTGACCCGGGAGTCTCCTAGGCGGGAGCGGCCTCCCCCCGGCTCTGCCACGTCTCCAGGCGGGCTGGGCAGGGCCAAGGTCGGCTACCTCCGGTCTCTCCCCTCTGGCCAGCGTGGTGGAAGGTGGAGCCAAACACCCGGGGCGCCGGTGTGGGTCCGGGGACCGGACCCTAGAACCGGCCAAGACCCCCGGGCCGCACTCTCCGCAAAATCCACAGCAGGAATGCTTGCCTCATGAAGCCTACCGGTGCCTGGGCTGAACCCTGGACGCTCCAACAGCGGGAGCCCGGACTGTACCACTAAGGAGCTCTCGAGCGACCCTCGCCTCCGGGCCCGGCCGGCCCGCCCNCGGGAGCCCGGACTGTACCACTAAGGAGCTCTCGAGCGACCCTCGCCTCCGGGCCCGGCCGGCCCGCCCGCCCCCCTCGCAGCCAAGGGGCCCCTGGGTGCTGGTTTGGGCGCCTGAGCCCCATCCCGCCGCCCACATGCACCCGCATTGCTGCCGGACTAACACTTACCTGCAGGCTCGAGATAGTGTCTGCGTGGCAGTGAAAAGTGGAGGCTAGACAGGCTAGGTGTAAGACTACGGCTGCTGCGAGAACACGAGCAACATGCAGGTAAGACCCCGCAGCGCGCACGCCCGCCTCCAAGATGGCCACCGTAGGCGCCGGTTCCTGAGGCTGCCACGTCCCCGGCGCGCCGCTCTCCAGGCGTGACTTCGCTCCCAAAACAGACTTATCCTATGTATTTTCAAAGATTTCCAGATAAGAGCGGTTGCCTCAGGAAAGAGAGAGAGCAGGGTGGCAGATACTATACTGATTTTCCCCAAGTTCATGTATTACACATATTTTTAATGGAAAACCGAAAATTATCCACTTTCTTAACCTTATGTGCTGCACTTAAAACAGGTCCTGAAAGTCGGTGCCAATAATGTACCCTAAATAAATCAATCAATACAGTACAATGGAGGAATATAAAGAATTTGCGATCAGAAGCCCTGGTTCGAGTCCTGACTGCCCTAGTGTTGCTTATGCAGTCATGTTACCTTATACAGATCGCTTATTCTCCTTGAGTCTCCATGTTTCTATCTGTAAGATAAGAATACTTGCCATCTCTAATCAAGCAGGTAAGAGAATCAAAATAAGACACACAAAAGCTCTTTTTAAAGTGCTGAGTGTTAAATCCACGAATAACTGTTGTTTACCTTATTTTCCAATTCTTTCAGGAACTCATCTGTAGAATTAGCATTAATATATTTCTCAGACTTGACAGCTAAAAACATTTTAAAATACCTCACTAAAGAGTTAATACTGTTTAACTGTGCCCTAACTTCAGACAAAATGATTTGCAGCTTCAATGGATTGGTCCCTAAGTCGGTGCCTCTTATCATGTCCCCTGAGAAGTGTGTAGGTGGCGGTCTAGGTTACTCTCCATAGAGTGCTGTTTGGGGTGGTGCTGAAAAGAATTACTACCGCCCATCCTATTTGGTCAACACCCTTAATAACTGTAAGAACTGTTGGTTTCTCCATTCAACCAACAAATATATATTAGTGTCTGCAATGTTCTGAGCATCAGTACTGGAAATGTAGCAATGAACAAGACAGACAAGATCCTTACACTGAGGGAGAGGAAGATCTTCTTAAGGGAGAGGCAAGCTATGAGCAGAAAAATAAAGTGAGTACTGTTTGTGATGGGCACTTTGAGGAAAGTCAATGGGGTGAAGTGATCTTCACAACAACTGGGGGAGGCCACCTTGGATGGGCCAGAAGCGTAAGGTATCTCTGGGTAGGTAGGATTTTACTTGAGAGCACAGGGAAGCAGCCCTGTGATTCTTTGAACAGAGGGAAAAACACCCAAAGGCTCTGAGGGAGGGTACCTGGCATGTCTGCTGAACAAGAAGGAAATTGGGACCAAGACGGTGGTTAGAAACGAGGTCAGAGAGATAGCAGGGCCAGATGGTAGCCAGCCTTGTAGGCCATCTTAAGGCCTTTGGGTTATATTTGGAGAGATATGAGAAGCAGGTGGAAGGTTTTGAGCAGAGGACAGATAAGATTTGCCTTCCATTTTAAGTCATATTCTGTTTGCTGTTTGAGAACTGTGAAGGGGGTGGTGGTGCAAAGACAAAAGTGGAATGATCACAATGAGGTGATGCTGCCTTAGAGTACAGAGTAGCCTGGCAGCCTGCAGTCTTTGGGGTCTCAAAGAGTCAGACATGACTGAGCACACACACATGCATTAGTGTAACTAATGGGGCAGCAGGGGAGCGAGTACATGGTGTGGACATCTTTTGAAGGTCAAGCTGTCATGATTTCCTGATGGATTGGATGTGACTGTATTAGTTTTCTAAGACCTCCAAAACAAATTACCATGACTGGTTGGCTAAAAGCAACAGAAATTTATTCTCTCAGAGTTCTAGAGACCAGAAGTCCAAACTCAAGGGTCAGCAGGGCCTCTCTGAGGGCTCTTCCCTGTCTCATCCAGCTTGAGGGGCGCCAGCTATTCTTTGGATCATGCCAGCCTGACTCCAGTCTCTGCCTTTGTGTCCACATGGCCTTCTCTCCTGTGTCTGTCTTGCCTTTCTCTTATAAACATGCCAGTTATTGCATGTAGTGAAAGTGAAAGGCGCTCAGTCATGTCCGACTCTTTATGACCGGTGGACTATACAGTCTATGCAATTCTCCAGACCTGAATACTGGAGTGGAGAGCTGTTTCCTTCTCCAGGGGATCTTCCCAATCCAGGGATCAAACCCAAGTCTCCTGCATTGCAGGTGGATTCTTTGCTGGCTGAGCATGTAGGACCCACCCTAAATCCACAATGATCTCATCTAAAGGTCGTTAAGGGTCTAGACCCTATTTCTAAATAACCTCCTATTTACAAGTTCCCAGTGGACATATCTTTTTTGTGAAGGGCACTGTTCTACCCACTATATGGATCATGAGAGACAGGGGTCAACCAAATAAACAGGATTATAAAATGAATTTTAACATTAACCTTGAATTGCATTTATAATATGTTTTACTCATCACTTTTCACTTGAATTTCAAAAGAACTTGTATGTCAGGTATTATTATTACTATTCCAATATTAGAAATAAGAAAACTAAGGCTCTGAGAATTGTGTGTAGACCTGGAATTAGAACCCAGAATTGTTTGTCTCTACCCCCAAATTCTTGCCTAATTTTGAGGTGATGGGTTAGAAGGTATGTTCTTAGACAAAGGGCAGTGAGGGGAGTCAAGGGAAAAATATAGCTTAATGACAACAAACAAACTATGTAGGTCTTTTGGCTTTATCTAGTAGTCTTGTCTTGTGCTCAGTCATGTCCAACTCATTGTGGCCCCCTGGACTGTAGTCTGCCAGGCTCCTCTGTTTCTGGAATTTTCCAGGCAAGAATACTGGATTGGTTGCCATTTCCTCCTCCAGGAGCTCTTCCCGACCCAGGGATCCAACGCATGTCTCTTCCATCTTCTGCACGGGGAGGTGGATTGTTTACCAAAAGCACCGCCTGGGTTACTAGCATATCTCATCAAATTTCTTCCTAGAGGAAGTCTCTAATACATAATAGAGTTCATTTCTGAGCTACCATGAAATATACAGTGCTATAGTAGAATTTTGTTTTTATGGCTTGAAAACAAAGGCAAACCAAACTATTTCCCATTTGAGTTGAGGCTTTTTCCTAGCTCAGCTCAGAGCTAACAGACCTATATATAGTCTTAAAACAGTCCATAAATTTTGTACTGTTCATGTGAATATTGTGTGTTTCTCCAGGTGGAGAGGAGACCAGGCTGAGGTTCTGAGCATCTACAGCACAATCAGGACTGGAGACAGAGTTGAATCTGTTTGAGAGACCATGGGCTCTACTGAGAGAACAGTCTGTGAGTTGTATAGCCATGAAGGACATGTCAGTGGATGTGTTGAGGGTACTGGCCCAGGCATAGAGCTCAAGGTCTCATGCCCACATCCAACTCCTACAAAAGAGAATATGAAGCGCCTTTGGCAACTAGGAATGAGGAGGGTTGTCCCAAACACTGCATGGAACATATGTGTTAGTCACTCGGTCATGTCCGACTCTTTGCGACCCCATGGATTGTAGCCCACCAGGCTCCTCTGTCCATGGAACTCTCTAGGCAAGAATACTGGAGTGAGTTGCCATTCCCTTCTCCAGGGGAATTTCCCAACCCAGGGATCGAACTTGAGTCTCCTGCATTGCAGGCAGAATTCTTTACCATCTCAGCTACCAGGGATGCCATACCCTATACCAAAAAATATTCTTTGTTTGTTTATCGAGAATTCAAATTTTGGAGGCAAGCAAGCCATGACCAAGAGTCTGAGAGGCAGTGTGAGGAAGATTGGGACACAGATGTTGGTACCAGATGCCCTGGGCTTGAATTCTGCCTCCAGTACCTGCTAGGTCAACAGCTGGCCTTGAGCACATTCGCTTAAAATCACTGTGTCTGGATTTTTTTCACCTATAAACTGAGAATTTATAGTAATACTTTCCTCAGTCTTTTACTTGTGGACTGAATAACTAAATATGTGGCAAGTGCTTAGAACAGTGCCAGACTCACAGTAATCTCTGTGTTAAGTGTTACTCTTTGACTTTTAAATTGTCTAAATATTCACCCGACAATGACTATTTTAAACCGAAAAGATTTTTATTTGGGTGAGTCTGAGTTGTAATTTCCAAATAAAGGTTTGATGTGCTTGTTTGTTTTCAACAGAAGAAAACTTCATCTAGTTACAAAGTAACTCAACCTCTCAATTTGCCAAGGACACTGCCAGTTTACGACTGTATTCCCAGCGTAACTAGTAAAAGCAACCACTTTTTATTCTCAAAAGTGTTCCACTTTGTACAATAAATTTTGTGTTTATGCTAGTTACAGAGCTATTAAGGAGTTCCTCTCTGCACATGTGAGTTACAGTGTGAAAATGTCAGTAACTGCCCCTTGCCTGCACAATCATCACCAGAGTCCACTGTGGTTTGCTTCAACGAAGTAACTTATCTTCCTAAAATAAGCATTTATAGGTGGTCCAGTGGTTAAGAATCCACCTTGCAATGCAAGGGACACTGATTCAATCCCTGGTCTGGGAAGATCCCACATGCCACAGAGCAACTAAGGCCATGAGCCACAACTACTGAATCAGTGATCTGGAGTGTGCAAGTCGCAACTACTGAGCCTGTCTTCCATCACAAGAGAAGCCACTGCAATTATAACCTGCCTGCTGCATCAAAAAGTAATCCATACTCGCCACAACTAGAGAAGGCTTGCGTGTGGCTACAAAGATCTACCACAGCCAAAAAAGAAAATAAACGAATCCTTTTAAAAATATGCTTTTATAAAAACACTCTGTCTCCTTATTGCTTGCATGGTAAAATACTAAAAACTCAACTTATCGGGCCTTTCCTGATGGTCCAGTGGTTAAGAATCCACCTGCTAAAAGACCTAAACAGACATTTCTCCAAAGAAGACATACAATGGCTAATAAACACATGAAAAGACGCTCAACACCACTCATTATTAGAGAAATGCAAATCAAAACCGCAATGAGATAGCACCTCAAACCAGTCATCCTGGCCATCATAAAAAAATCCACAAACAATACATGCTGGAGAGGGTGTGGAAAAAAGGGAAACTTCTTGCTCTGTTGGTGGAAACGTAAATCCAT